TATGGAACTTTAAGATCAGCGAGAAGTCAGAGGTCGAGAGGTGTGGAACCCACATGTTAGGTGCCGAAGGCGGGTGGTGTGGGAAGCGGCTAATCGGAAAAATCCTTTGAACGGTCCCAGAGCACTAAAAACACCGAGAAAGAAGTAGATTATGGTCAGAGAGGGGTCAGCGGTTGAGGAACGTGCGACACACAGAGGGCGGAGCGTGCGCCGAGGTGGGCGGTGCTACAGCACGGCTTTGTGGTTCAGTAGGAGGGCACTCCAGACAACCGAAAAAAAGTGGATCAAAGTCAGCGGCAGAGAAATGTGGGATACACCCACTGCGGGGTGGACCCTGTGGTGTGGTGGGTGGTGCCGAACTTATGGTTAGAAATTCGTATAACGTATCAGAGCACTTCAGATACCCGGGAAAAATTGGATGAATGTCAGCGAGGGGTCAGCGGTTGAGAATTGGACACACAGTGGGCGGGACGTGCACTTAGGTAGGCGGGCTACACGCAAGGCTCTGTGGAACGGTCCGAGAGCACTCCAGACACCCGGCAAAAAGAGGATTAAGGTCAGTGTCAGAAGTCAAACAAATTAACTACGCCGGTTTTCCAGGCTCCAGTGTGACACCTCCCGCATTAGCTGGTTGGAACCATCTCACGCCACGCCACGTTAAGGTGCTGATAGGACATTGTGACCATTGAGTGTATACAAATAAATAAAAATAATGTATAAAAAGGAACAATCATACAAGGGGTCCAGTAGAAGATCCTTGCCAAAGGCCGTGTTACACTTTCAGATGGGAGAAGTGTCAGAATTATTCATTTTTCAAAATGCCTTCTCAAGCACCCTTCCAAAACGTGTGATGGCTACAGTTTCAAAGGGTCACAGCCGCCTACCTTATCAGCTGTTTTGTCTTGCTGTCCCTTAGATAACACTATGAGACCAAGCGAGTTATAGTGGCACTTGTGGTCACAGCATCAACAGAAAATCGGTGACCTTTGCCTTTTACTTCCCTGTTTCCTTGTTTTGCCTACCAAACTTTACACTGCTTAATTTGTGTATGCCTCTATGATTATAAAAATGACTGTTGAAGGGAGTATGTTCATCTTCATTTTATTGTGCTTTTTCGTGACTGTTGATTCATATAAAATACTGGTATTCTCTCCAATAATCAGTCGATCTCATATGATCTCAAATGGACGAATAGCTGATGAACTGGCTATGGCCGGCCACGATGTGGTGAGTTATACCAGTATTTTAT